CCTCTACAAATGTCTTACCACACACACTACACGGAACATTACAGTTGAACAGAAACACATACATCACACTACAGAAGGCCACTATATCGAATACATGTCCTATTGTTAGGAAATTTCTGACACACACATACTGACGAATTTACTTAATTTTTGTTTTGTTTTGGTCGCTATGCCTTGACTCTGGTTCGGCATAGTACACAGCAATCGGTGTCAATCGAGTATAACTCACTACACCCAACATAATAATAATAACAATAATAAATATGTAATTGGTACTTTTTTGAACAGCTCAAAAGAGTCATCGTTGTAAAGGAGAACTTGTCCTAGGTATTCGAATACCGTGTTTTCGGATTCGTCCGTTATAAGCTCTCATAACAGTGAACAAGCCAATTCGAATACCAAGAGTAGTGTTTCGTTCTATTGTTGGAAATTATAATAGCATTGTAGTAATACAAAGAACAAGTTATTCTGTGTTCTGACTTCTCGAAAAATTTCAGTGTTATAAGTAATCGTTAACTTTAACCTCTGTGGGCTAGGTACCAGTTAGTTATTAACATTCCATACAAGGCAAGTTGGCAGCACTGTGTTACCTTATTCTCATTGTTTTAAACGAATTACATTTATTGCTTTTTCTCGAAAACTCGGTTTTCTTAAAAGTTCTCTCTGGAATTTCATCAAGAATTAATATATAAATTTTCTTTACTTTTGGATGAAGAATTCCTTCAGAGGCTTAAGTTGAAAGGTTTGAATACGAGATAGTTTTAATTGAAGAAGGAAAGGAGGAAAACTGACTTCAAACCAAGGATAATACATGGGGGCTCTGCAGCTTCGGTTAGCAACACATCTAGGAGAAAGGATTACGAAAACAAACTTCCTAGCAGTAGGAGAAAAAACGCCTTTGAGAGTGGCGATCTCATCAGAATACAGCCTTCATGAATATTCAAAGTGGACCAAGGTCTATTCATAGAGTCCAAGTCCGCGTAGTACTTTGGACTCTGTGAGTGCTATGAGAAATGGATTACCAAGATCAACCTCAACTTCAACCACCTCAACCTCTCAAATGGGAGAAGCAGTGTTATACAAATAACGCTGTATAACATATATGTATTCGGAGTAGTAGCTAGGCTATGCATTAACTGCTTTTCCGACATTTTGAAAGCAGGCACTGTATTAATCGATCAGTAAGATATTGATATATTACGTCATTTCTTGTGTAATTTTCTGTTTTGTTCAGGTTAAGTTACGTTCTTGATATCTGAAAAACTTCTTCCGTTTTCGCGTTGCACAGGTTTATGGCTTGTAATAAAATTTAACACAGAAAATCGCTTCGTTTCAAAGTGTTTCTTTTCCCTTCAGGCAGGTTTTCGTTCTGTTCGGTGTTTGTTTATTCGAACAGATTATTAAGTAGTTTAGCCAAATACAAGCATATTTACAAGCGGTCGGAAACAAAATCTAATGATTAAGATCTTTTTATCGCTTGCTTTAATATTTGTATGACATTTAATTTTAAACTAGTTGAAAGTAGAATATTATCAAAGAATTATCCATTGATTTTGGAAATTAAGATGAGTTTTCCAAAGGTATGATAAAACCGAGAGGATTGGGACGAGGGAAGGTTAGAAAGAAGAAAACTAACACAAAGAATACACTAAAAAAACAATATATTTTTTTAAAATATAGAACATTCAGGGAGCATTATCCTATGGGGCATAAAGGGCAATTGCCTGGGGTTCCCACCAAATGGAGCCTCAAACCAATCTTTTATAAGAAAGTATTTTCACCAAAAAATTCCCCCGAAGAAAAATACCCGAAGACAACACTGTATATGGGACCCCCTAATTGAAATTTACCTGAGCCTCACGAAAATATAAAACGCCACTGATAAGGTTTACAAGTAAACTATGTCCCATTTCGTCATTTTCGATTAAAAATATGAATTAGTCTCGAGTTTAATATCTCAGGATGGTGTAAAGATTAAGAAATTAAATTTGTCAGGATAACTTGTATTTATATATAAGAGGCATTGATGATATTAAAATAATTAATAATATAAAAGGTTTTATAACAAAATTTCATAACAGATGGCGCCACATACAAGTTTATTTATTATGATTAATAATATAAAAGTTATTTTTGAAATAAAATAATTAAGTAAATTTTCTTCTTAACTTTGTCCAAAAAAATTAAATTAAAATAAAAAAAACACTAAAAGATAAATTAAAATAACTTCATTTACGATAATTATTCGTGTAAATATTATAAAAGAACTTTTTTTGTGCCCTACGATTAGCTAATTGTAGAAATATAACACCTATGTTGAAGCGGGTTCGATCAGTTAGGATTAAACATGACTGCCAAGTATACTGTCTTTAAATATACAGGCTCTCTAGAAGACAATATCCTTTTTGTATCTTCTCTCGGCAATAAATAATACCACTTTTACAAAGATATCGAATTACACACAGGTAAATAACAATAACATCAAATTACAGGCAGTAAAGTCTTACACCTCTTTCTCGGCCTTAGTATTGACGTACCCTACTATACACTAGACTGTATATTCTAGATGGCCATGACATTGCACAGAATCTTGCATAAGTAATTGCGGTTGTATGCATCAAAAATGCAGATAATGCAAGAAATTAATTCGCTAAACAAACCCCAGTGTATATAGCTTTTGCCACTGACATTTTAGGCTGAATCCAGGAATACCCGCAGTTTTTGTACGTGGTAATGTTCTTGAATGAAGCGAATTTTCATCCTTATGGAAAGGTGAGTCGCTATAATGTTCGAATTTGGGGTTCCGAAAATCCTCAATTCGTACGAGAACATAATTACGTTTGTTCTTCGGGCAATCTATCAAACAGAGAACAAACTGTTTGATTAACAACTCCCTGTCGTAGAGGGCAGTGGCTAAAACTTTTAAAAAGATATAGGCCCTAAGCAAATATATTGTGGAGACTTAAATATTATAAAAATAAAATATTTAAAATAATTTAGCGCTTCATTTTATATCACCGAAAGCATTAGGAAAAATTAATTATTCACACTCTGTATTTAAAAGATCTGAGCAAATGGGCCCTTTGGCTCACCAGGCCCTAGACAAATGCCTTTGTTTGCTTACCCACTCTCAGAGGAATGAAAGTGTTCTCAATTTTTAAATTTTCCTTTGTTTATTTTAATTTTATAAAACACACGCTCCTGGTATCGCCAGGAGCGTGTGTTTTATAAAGTTTATTGGGTTACAATTTGAAAAGACTGTAGACTGTCTGTCCTTCCTTCCTTAATCTCGAGAACAGAATTATAGAGATGTAGGTTAGGGTCAGGAAGCCCCGATTAAGTATATATCAACTTCCGGTTTGGATAGGAAATCACGTGGTTTCAATTCAAACGGTTTTCCCTGAAAGGAGTTAGATAGATGTACGACTGTATTGCTAACAGGAAAAGTATAACGTACAGAAGCAAGACACTACTAATTTGAGGTGGAAAGTATATAACTTGTGTTAAATAATGACGATGTTTACCATAAAAAAATGATAAATCCTGAAGAAAAACGATTATACTTAACATCGGAACTTTCTATTTTAATTTTAATTTAAAATATCACGCGATTCCCGGTCCAGACAGTAAATTCGTATCGGTAATCTGGCCCTAAGCTTTCCATATCTGGTCTCGATTTTAGTCTATTTAACCTCCGTTCTGGAGATTAAGGAAAGACGGACGGACAGACAGACAAACTAACAATCTATAGGTCTGCAATTTGAAAATTACAGCCCAATAAAAATTATTGGGCTGATATTATTACATAGCTCAAACTACGAAAAGAATATGAAAGGGTTCACTTAATAAAAAGATTAAGAGGACTTCGTGATGAGTCGACAGAAAAAAATTAAACGAATGTAACAACAGGTAATTTCTGTATTTATGGATGTTAGTGTACTGTACTATGTGTTGGGAACGATTTTATACACTCACTTTGAAGCTTAATAACTCCTGGACTTTTTGTCGAAAACTTCTGAAATTTGGCAAGGAGGTTTGTTTATTAGGTTGTTTGATGCTATTAAATTTTGGTGATTAAAGGTCGAGGAGATGGGGAGATAAAGGGATACGCGTGTATCTCCAGTAGGGTCGGACATAATGACGATTTTACTCGTTGTTAGCATTTAGAATTGTTTATAAAACGCACCCCTACCTCAAAATTAAGCTTTTTGCTATTTTATAATAATTAAAAATACTGTATAACAAGTTTTTAACATAAAACATCACAACAGATGGAAACTTTAAATGTTGCCGGGAAAGTTAAGCAACTCGTTGCTGGATTTTTTTTTTGGAAATGAATTGTTACATAAGCATAACAATGAAATAAAATAAGTTAATTTACTAATTTATTTTCTAATTTCGGATCTGAGCATTAAGAGGGCCCTTTTTTTCCATATCCATCGTGGGTGGGTTTGGCCGGGCCCTCGTCGCCCATGAAAAATTCCTAGGGAATTGTTAAAGACAGGTTAGAATGAAAAACATTAAAAATATATTAAATAAAACGTAAAGCCGTATAATCGAGACTCTATTATGATTTTTTTAGTAATTTTTTATGGCAGGTTTCCTAATTTATTACGAAACAAATAAGTACACAAAAAAAACTCATTAGTTTAATTGATAACATAGATACATTTATTTATTACAATTAGAAACTTTGTACATTATTTTATATTTTTACAAAAGAAAAAGGTAGGCCTTATCAATAACCTTACACGAATCAATCTGCCTGCGATACACATCTCTTTGTATAAAATGAAAATAAAACTTTTTATAGGGTAAAAATATATAATTATATACATATATATTTATCAAAAATAAATAATTTGGATTGTTTTATATTCAAATTTCTAAAATATTACTTCATTTATTTATTTATTGTTTTATTAAAATGATTAAAATTTCTCAAATTTAGTTATAGGTTACACGAATTGGAAAATTTTACACTCAATTTAAAATAAATTAAATTATTTAACAAATAAAAAATAGTTTGCATATAAATATTAAAAACATAATGGTAATTTTTCCATAGCAAAACTCTTTTTTCCAATGTTTAAAACACAACATCAATTAACACTATTTTACTTCTATAAATCATACAGTGTACGTTAGAATATTATTGTTAATAAATTGACAATTGGCCAAAAAAAAATACACTTATACAATAAAATAAAATACCTCGAATTCTTATTTTATAACCTACTAATAGATTCGTCTGTTTTATCGTACGCTGTCCTAACAAAATAAGTGGTTAAATTTCCTTTCCCCTTTACATAGATAGATCCACGACATTCGCAGTCGTAATTATATTTCATTAATGTATTTGCCGTATCTTCGGTTACCTATAAAATAATACCCTATTAAATTACTTTATCTATCATTTATTATATATATATATGATTGGGGTTCCGAAAATCCTCAATTCGTACGAGAACATAATTACGTTTGTTCTTCGGGCAATCTATCAAACAGAGAACAAACTGTTTGATTAACAACTCCCTGTCGTAGAGGGCAGTGGCTAAAACTTTTAAAAAGATATAGGCCCTAAGCAAATATATTGTGGAGACTTAAATATTATAAAAATAAAATATTTAAAATAATTTAGCGCTTCATTTTATATCACCGAAAGCATTAGGAAAAATTAATTATTCACACTCTGTATTTAAAAGATCTGAGCAAATGGGCCCTTTGGCTCACCAGGCCCTAGACAAATGCCTTTGTTTGCTTACCCACTCTCAGAGGAATGAAAGTGTTCTCAATTTTTAAATTTTCCTTTGTTTATTTTAATTTTATAAAACACACGCTCCTGGTATCGCCAGGAGCGTGTGTTTTATAAAGTTTATTGGGTTACAATTTGAAAAGACTGTAGACTGTCTGTCCTTCCTTCCTTAATCTCGAGAACAGAATTATAGAGATGTAGGTTAGGGTCAGGAAGCCCCGATTAAGTATATATCAACTTCCGGTTTGGATAGGAAATCACGTGGTTTCAATTCAAACGGTTTTCCCTGAAAGGAGTTAGATAGATGTACGACTGTATTGCTAACAGGAAAAGTATAACGTACAGAAGCAAGACACTACTAATTTGAGGTGGAAAGTGTATAACTTATGTTAAATAATGACGACGTTTACTATAAAAAAAACTGACAAATCCTGAAGAAAAACAATTATACTTAACACCGGAACTTTCTATATTAATATTAATTTAAAATATCACGCGATTCCCGGTCCAGACAGTAAATTCGTATCGATAATCCGNTTTTTTTTTTACAAAACTTATCTTCTTCTATTTAAAATATAGAAAAAATAATGTAAAAAATACCTTATCAAAATCGCATATGATTTCATTCAATAACCTTAAACACTCCAAGCCTTGTTTATTAATATCGTTTTCATCATAAAATTCTTTATAATTTGGTATGGAAGCGAACATAACTGCCACGCTACAATATCTTTCGTGATATAATTCCTATAATTTAAACAAATAATAGATTATTTTATGTATTAATACTTTATTAACTTGAAAACCTAACTACGTTCTCCAGATTAATAACTTTATTATTGTGTATTATTTAACGGTGTTTAACTGTTAAGTATTTGTTTAAAAAACAAGAACATTTCTATAGACAGCACTCAATTAATTTTTTTTGTTTTTTAGTTAAAAATATTAAAAATAAAAGTAAAATTATGGCGCTTATTTTCACCAAAAGGTTCGTTTTACTTTCCCGGTTGTTATACATAACAGAGGGAAAGTATGACGATCGGTCAAAAAATAAACCCCTCCCCCGCCAAGATTTTTACATTTTTGGATTCAGGAAACCTTGAAACGTCGAGAAATGCAGAAAAATTCGGGGGTTTTTTCCCCTGTATGTATGGATGTTAGTGGGGGGAGGGACAAGATTTTGTTCGCCATATTTGAAGCTTAATAACTCCTGTGCTTTTTGTCGAAAACTTGTGAAATTTGGCAGGGAGGTTTGTTTATTATGTGGTTTGATGCTGTTAAATTTTGGTGATTTAAGGTCGAGGAGATGGGGAGATAAAGGGATCCGCGTGTATCTCCAGTAGGGTCGGACATAATGACGATTTTACTCATTATTAGCAATTTAGAATTGTTTATAAAACGCATCCCCACTCTCAAAATTAAGTTATTATTATTATTATTATTCGCCGAAATTGTTTGATTCGTGTAATTTCGAGTTAAGCAATCGATTTATATAAATGAATAACGACAGAAGAAATCTTAAGTAACACATCAATTCGCATTAAAGAAAATCTGTCTATAAATTTGTATAGATTATTGTCAAAAAAAAATCAATAAATAAAAAGAAAAAAGAAACATTAATCTATATTATAAACGAATACAAAGTTTTCTCGGTGTAATTTTAAAAACTCATCAATTTTACGTCACCAATTTATTTCCTGATAAATAATATTTGATGGTTTTATCCTTCTCTAGCGTACGTCAATCGACTTATCATCATTGTTGACTTAAGTCGACAAATCTTTTGAAATGTTTTTCTCATTCGTCACTATTGCCAACTTGGGGGAGATATGAGTGACGTGCGAGATATAACTTATGTATATATTTTACTTACGTAAAGGAATATTTTCTGTTCTTCGGTAGCACGATTCTCTTTTGATGCAAGATTAGAAGAAATAAGTAAGTTTTTTTTTAAGATTTAATTGTGTAACATGTTTTAAATTACGTGCTTTACTTGCTTATAGAACTGTAAAATGATTGAAAATATAATCATTTCGTGTTCGTACAGTAAAAATTGAAAATGTATGTACACCCTTTGGGTACATTCTATATTCCGTAGCATGGGTATTAAGTGAATTTCTTTCCCACCCTGAATATAGGCCATTTTTTTAAGTTATTTTTTTTTTTAATTTTTGGGTAAGTAAGGGCATATATTCTCTCTATTCTCAATAATACGCTTAATATATTACCTTAATCCCCATAAGTTAAGTAATATATATCGTCTACTTGTTATTTAATCGTAATTTCAGTAATTTATTCATTTATTTATAAAGAATTATCATATCACATATCCTTACTGTTTACTTAATCATAAGTAAATATTAGGGTTTCTCATTTCCCGGTCTTTTGCTTGTCCCGGGATTCCGGGATAAAAGTGAACTGTTTCCCGGGATCCCGGGAAATCCCGGGATAGAATTACGCAGAAATTTTCACAAATAGAGAAAAAATTTATTAAAGTTTGCTGGAAACTGCATACAACAACAACAACAACAAATACTTTGAATTGAGTTAAAAATTTAAAAAAAAATGAACTTTGATCAAACTTCAAACTTAGAAGGTAATTTTCGTTTTTTAAATAAAATATAATACAAAATATTGTAAACTTTTATAAGATTTTAAAAAGCAAAGATGGTCAATACTCCGATCACTCACTCTAATTCTTATTTTAGTAATGAGAAGTCTTGCTACCGAGAATGCCCTTTCCAATTCAATTGATGTGATTGGAATCGTGTTTAATTCATTTAAGAGAAGACGGATATTATGTGTTTTTTCACCCGTAGCCTGGAAGATTTCGAGTTCGTTTTCGAGATTGTAGTACAGTAGAGCCTCGATTATCCGACTCAATTGGTGACTGGGGTTGGTCGGATAATTGAAAAGTCGGATAACCGAAAAGTATGAAAAAATCCATTATTAGTGTAGTATATTATTATATCCCATGTAATTAGTATATTAGTATATCGCTATTAACCTACTTTGCGTTGAATTTTCATCGATGTTAAACCTAACAAAAACTTTTTAAAAATAATAATCGTCGCTATTGTTTAAATACTGGCTCCCTTTCATGGTCGATCCGGTGTTGCCAGCTAAAACACGTAAAAATAATATTAAAGTAGCCAAGACATAGCCAAATATTGTAGCGCCACATCACTAGCGG